CGAAGATCACCTTCCCCATGGGCATGTCTACAGTTCACAGCTGGCCCACACTTTCCTTTCAACCAGAAGCGACAAAGTGAAGTCTTATAGACCTCACGAGTGCAACGGAGTTCCGATCTACCATGAGCATACTGGCAGTTGGAACCCTGTGTACATTTACCTAGACGAAACTGATGGCATATTTTGGTCTTGCGGAGGTCCGGAGCCTGCCTTAGTTCTTTCTCACCGTGAGCATAGGAGCAATTGTCGCCGTGCCAGCAAAGACCATGTTCATAGAACTTGCACAAACGAATCTTAACGAAAGTGTTACGGCTTGAGGCAGCGGAAGAAGATTTTCCTGTACAACTTGACATCCCACCACTGGAAGCCGTTCTATGCCTAGTCACAAGCGGTGACTCGCCACAACTTAAGGAAGTGGTCGTGAGGGGCCGGCAAGTAGAGAGCATCTGCACCGTAGAGGGAGAAAAACTCTTGACAAGGCTGCGAAAATCAAGTGGCGACGGAAAGGTGACACGCGAACTCAAGGTAGACACCATAGGCCTACGGGCGAGCGAGATGTCTGTCCAACGCGATTAACGCAATAATGATTTCTCACTCATGAATAACTATGGCGAATATCCCCGGGGATAATACATTGACTCGGACGTGAAAATCACTGACGGATAACGCAAATAAAGGAGCATGATAGTTGATAGGAAAGTGACCCTGCACGCATGCACACGACATGCGTGTGGGGCTAGCCGAACACAATGTGGTGGGAATTGTGGACAAATGAGAATTAGCCGTGACTTGAACTCGAATAGCATACAGTCGAGTCACTCTATCCGAGGAATGAGGACGTCGTCCTCAGGACGAACAGAAAAAACATAACACTGAGTGGTTAAATGAGAAACAACTACAGAATACGTAAAAATCAGGTGGCGAGTTTATGTGCGCACAGTGACACAACAGAGACGTAACTCCGTCTCCTTCCGGGGCCGCATCTGAAGGAGCTATCCGCGACTGATCTTCGCGGAGTTGAATATCGTCTTCTTTGCAATGACTAGTATTCGTATCGAATAGAAAGTAACACACTAGGCCGAATGTCCAAGTGGAACTAACCCATAAAAATACGTAAAACAGAGGGGGATTCTGAGCTTAGTAATAAATGTCACTGATCATGTTGCCGTACGCGGATTAGGTATGGCACCAACTTGTTCCCTTGTGATTCTTCAGCATTTTACATTAGCTGTAGCACGCAAGTACAATATATATTGGTGCATTAACCTCTTTTGATCCCATAATGGGATTCCCATTGCTACCATACGCAAAATCACCAAGTGTTGGATTGACTATGAGAGCGACCAGGAGCAACAATCAGAACAATCGTTCATCGGGCGCGTCACGGACTCAACTTGCACACTCAATCGGCCCTTGGCAATTTCTCAGCACCTCTCATTATAATCAGCATATGATTGACACAACACAAGCCACACGAGAAGCAGCACCAACTTAGTGTTCACCATTCGACTCCAGTACTCCTCTATGAGAAGAGCTCCATGGCAGCGGTCATATAAGATACCTTATGAGGGTGACGGTACCTCAAGTAATGGACGTAAACAAAATGCATGTGAGGTGATCCTCTAATACCAAATCTATCTCTTCTGCGGCTCGTGCTGCTGTTGATACTATCCCCATCCCCTCGTCACGACATGTATCATCAGATAATGAACATCCCCTTGTAAAAGCATATAGCATATGGGAGGCTATATGGGGCACATCCATGGGAACCTACAGTAGAGTTTCACCACCCGTTTAACGTGAAGTGTCGCAAAACTCGGTGAAAAATGCGGTATTCGCGGTATGCAGTAGTCGTAGTATGTTTTTCACTACTGTTTTCCATATCACGAGTGGAACTCCAATGACTATCATAGGTCTTCGCTCAAGCCCTTACCAGATGCCCGGCCTGATTGATAACTATGTGAGTGAGAGCACCGACTTCGACAAAGCCGCCCACCTGAGCGAC